AATTTCTTCCTTAGATCTAAGGAAGAAATTTATTCCTAATATATTCTTCCCTATATCTAAGGATAAGAGGTTACATCCTCCTTATATCTCAGGATATCAGATACAAGCCAGCTCGGACGAGCAGCTCCTGCAAGATGTCGTCTGCTCGTGAAGGACAACAGCCGTTTGCACGAGCACGTGAAGGAATTTGAGGTTGGTTTTCCTCGGAGCTGGAACACGACGATCTCAGACCGACTGCAAGCGAAGGGGGCCGGGAGCGTGGCCGGGAGCACGCCTGGCAGCTCTGCCACGCGGAAGCAAGGTCGATCCGCAGCACGAGGCACGCAGCGGAGATCTCAGAGCTTGGTTGTCTGTTGTTTTTTTTTTTTTTCCTCCCCTGATGTGCTACTTTCCCTATCAGCAGATAGCAAAATATTTAGGAAATTATGGACTGTCAGCATTCCCCCATCAGGTTACCCCATCGCCTCCAGCCCAGAGGAGCAAATCCTCTTGAAACAGGAGCCGAGGCAGGGACCTGTTCGCCTCAGACTGGATGGATTTCGGAGACAGATTTATGCCAGGCATGACCCTGGCACTACAGCCTCCTCCTTCGCCCTCGCCTGCCTGCAACCACAGGTCCGACACGAGCCCGTCGTTGCACGAGAGAAGCTGAAGGTCAAGAACTGCAGGAAGCCTCGCTGGTTAAAGGACACCCGAAGGGCAGCCCTGACAGGCAGAAGTTAAACCAGTTCGAGCTTTGCTGCTTAAATATCCTGTTTCGGGTGAACAAACGTGCTTTTAAACCAGGTTTGCCTTTGGTAGGACGCCAGCTGGAGCGGCGACTCGGCAAGAGGATGTAACTATCGGATCCTGCTCTGTGCCCTGGGATTTAAAAAGACACTAATTATTCTCTGGGCCATGAAGGGAGTGGGGAAAACAAACAAACAAACAAAAAAAAAACCAAAAGAAGGTGAAGGTACAATTTCCATCTCAGCTCGCCGGCAACGGCATCACTTTTGGGAAAAGGAAAGTGAATCTCCGCGGAGCTGCAGCGTCACCGCTGATCGACTGCGCAGCCCCGGCGCCCTGCCCGGCCGCTCCGGCGCTTGGCGTTTGCCGAGGGAGGATCCCCGTGGCCCCGTTCCAGGCGGGC